CTGAAATCTAATAATATTGGAGCATCGTCCGAGACTCGTGCAAGTCTCGTCGCTCCCGTACGAGATAGCTCGTCCAGAGATTGTTCATCGTTTCGACGAGAATGCGATGAAAATATACCGCGCGAGTATAACGCGTCAACGACACGTTAACGTGTTTCGAACGGTTCCCCCGCCAAGAGAGTGCATTGTGTCGGCAAGAGAATCGCAGTAGTGGATAGATAAAAGCCTAAAGTACCAGCGAAAGATTTACAACGTCCAGATTGACCGATAATCAAGGATCTTTGAAGGGAAACGCGGATCGAGGTGCTCGGTCACGTTCAAGGATCTCGTGCAAGTAATTGCTATGCTACGTAGACTGAATGCATAGTTAATCCACGCCATCGCGGGATATTGCATAGTCGAATGCACTCTGGTTAAGTGCGATCGGTTCAACTGCGCGTATCTATGCTGACCTTAGGGCAAGAATATATATATATATATATATATTTAGGTACGGCGTACCATTAAAGCTTCGCTCTATGTACATACGTATATGTATATGGGTCGTGTCCCATATAGATACGTGTGTGAATATGGCAACTATTTGCATTGCACAATTCGGATAATTCAAATCAAATTACACTGGCAGACGGGTTCTTTGTTACGTAATGGCACGGGAATTCTTTGAAACAATAAAATATGTAAAGTCATCGAATCGTTGTCATTGTTCGGTCATCGAGAGGATTGCAAGTCGGAGACGAAAGATTGAGTCGCCTGAATTAATTTCAGAGTCCGCAGCAGGAGGATTGGGACAGCAGCACGGCATTCTCCGCGTTGAAACACTTCGAGAGACTGGTGGAAACTACAAGAATGACACTTTTTGGACCAGGTTGCCGAGAGACCCTCACCGCCGCGTTGGACACCGTCATTGAAAGAACGCAAGATTTCACTGACAGCGCATACACGAGCCACGAGCACAGAGAGAACATTCTCTTGCTTTGCGATCGAGCGCAACTCGAGCTCAACACGCTGCTGCGAATTGGCAACAGTATGGTGAGCATCAGTCTCTCATTGTCGATAGATTTCTTGCACA